TCACAAAAATGGGATATTTCAAAAATCTAATTATAACTGGAATGCTAGTGTGCATGCAGCGCCTAGACAGTTGTAGGAAAGACGAGTCATAGTTACACAGTTTTGATGTTGGAGGCAGAAAGACATTTCAAAATATTTCGAGGTCCCGTCTTTCTTTTTTTCCTCCATCCAGTCCTCTCCACTTTCCCCATACAGATGGTTTTGGGCTGTGACCTTGGACACACACACACACACACACACACACACACACACACACACACACACACACACATCTGCTTGTGCTTAGATTGGCGTAACTCTCATTTTCTTTCTCTCTTGCTCGTCTTTTTCTCCCTTTGTTGTCAGTATTGTTATTTCCATGCATTTGAAACATAAAAATATCCCACCTCCATTGTATTCTGTACATTTTGTTTCCATGGAGATTGCCATGAACAAGTCAAATGAGTGTGTGTGTGTGTGTGTGTTTGCGTGTCTGTGTGTGTGTATCTAAGTGTGTATGCATGTATAATGTCTGTTCATGTGCCAGTAGCATTGCTATCAGCCAAGCACAGAGTCTAAAGCTGTTTTCTAAGAAAATAAAAATAAAAGGAGAAACATCCACCAGCCCCTCTCTTTCCTTTTCTCTTTTTTCTCTTCTTCTCATCTTTTTCTGTGCCTCCACAGTCTCCTTCATCCCTATCTTTCTCTGTTGCCCCATTCTTTTTTCTCTCTTTCATCCCTCCATCTTCCAGCCCCTCCCTTCCCATGCCAGTCTTCAAATGCCCACCATCACCCTCCTGCAACCCATGGCAACAGCCAAGAAGGGTGCGAGGAGGACAGAGGGACAGAGATTGACAGGCGGCGTCTCAGAGGGTTTGCATGTGGGAGTTTTACTGTATGTGCTGTTATTGAGCAAACAGCCTCATCTGGCCTGCACATTGCAGTCCTTCAACACCAGCAGCATCACAACATCAGGGTGTCAGCTTACAGTCCAGTACCATCAGTGGCCTTAGAGACCACACCACACTGTGGACCTGGCTATAATGAGGGACATGCCTCCCTATGTGTGTGTGTGTGTGTGTGTGTTTGTGTGTGTGTGTGTGTCTGTCATACTTACTCTAATTTTTTGGATTTCTCTCTGTTTATTTGTCCTCTGATGTGTTTGTGATGAAGGGGGGTTTAATTTGGGGTGTGTGCAACAGTCTGGCCGTGCTTTTGCAAACATGCCTCATTGAATGTGTGCACTCATTCTGTGATGGATAGATGTTTCAATTTGTACGTATTCTTGTGTGTCATTAAATCAGATTCATATTATTCTGCCATATGATGTTCCCTCCTGTTTTGTGTACATGTAATCATGCACATATGCCCTTCTCTCTGTGTGTTTGTGTATGTTTAAAGCCATGCAAGATTTCATTGCCACTGATCAAGGGAGCAAAACGCTCTTTTAATTCAGGGGTGGTCCCCATGTGCATCCACCACCCTGGGCTGATCAAGGGAAGAGCAGTGAGGGAGGAGCAGCTGAAAAGGCCTGGTGGGTCTGCACATCTGACTGAGTCAGCTTCTAGAAGATGTGAATCCCAGCAGCCTATTACACAAAGGCGGGGAGAACTAAAACCACACAATTATATTGATTGATAAATTTCTGTCGGTTAGGTGATAATATAAACCCTCAGGCAGTCTGAGACAGATATAGTGCTGAAACAGAGAATCATCTGTTGAAATACTGTACAGGATCTTCCTACATTTATGGTGTTTGAGCTATCAGTTATTATAACAATGTGCTCACCAGAGCATGATGAGACCTGGGAACTCAGATCTACAGTCTTAAAAATGGTGGTGAATTGAAGAAAGTAAGAGGTATAATGAAAGCTGCTTTCAGACATACACTTAACTCAAGATAATCTCCTGAAATTATCTGGAGGGGCTGTATGTGAGAACACAAATATACGTTTCTGCGAACATCCTCTCCAGTTTTTCCTTCCATCCCCCTGGTAAAAACGTGACAAAAAGCAGTGTCATACTCGTAGGAGGCACAGCCAAAGATGTAAACTTGGAAAAACAACAAGGTTTAAGAGCTTAAGGTATAATGGGCGGACGCCGCAGTCGCTGGAAACAAAAACATGTGATCTCTACAGTGTAATTAATACATTACATCCTGTCTCCTGCATGGTGTGCCACCCCTCACATGTACGCTATGGAGATTTCTTTGTTGTTGCGAACCCTTGTGACTATGGAATCTCCTGCTGCGTTGTTCATATGTGCAAACTCTGGATAGAGTCTGGATCCCATTGTGTGGACATTTTAAGAGTTCATGGAGGACTGTGGAATTTAAGTAATGACTCATGTGTTTGATTGAGTATTACCCATTAGTCTTAGCCCTGTCACATATCTAATTAAGTTGGAAAGCACAATCTTATAGAAGACAACAGTAAAGGTCAAAACAGGGAACATAAGGCCAAGGTTGTTGCAATCTGGAATGAACCTGTTGATTTGATGACCACTTAGCTTATAAATGTTCAACTCTTAACCAGCTGCTAATTTTGTTTGTCTGTCGTTTGGTGTTGGGTAGCTAGTATACAGAGGGTATACTAGAATATTTCGACTGATTCATCCCAAGAATCATTTTTCATCATAACCTTATGGTCATTGTTTTCAGTGTTAAAAAAGATTATTAAAAATATTGATCCATGCAGCTTTAAGAGAAAAGCCAAGACAATATGAGAAAAATAAACTGTGGCCATGTCTTTTATTGTTTATAAGGATAGAAAGCCAGGTACCCCAACTGTAGAGGGATAGAGGTGGATAATGTAGCTCTGTGTTGTCAGTCTCAGCTTATCAGTCACATTGAAGCCGGAGGATGGTGTGTGTATTCCGATAAGCTACTTCCAGGAAGTCCTGTGTTTCCTTGGTTGGTAATTACTTCTCCTGGAGACTGACCAGGGAAAGAAATAAATCTTAAACGTGTGTGGACTGGATAATGGGAGATCTAGAGGGATGATGCCTTTAGCTAGTGGTAGAGGTGACACACACAAAAACATGAATGCACATACACACAAAAAACCCTGTTCTTCAATCTACATGCTGACAAGCAGAAAAACAGGAATTTGAGACAGGAGCTTTGTCCTTAGCTTTCTGATAAACTCCTGTTAGCAAGTCCTGCAGCTAAATAAATTCTCCAGTCTACATTTGTGTCTACACCTCATGTAATGTATCCTCATTCCCTGCTTCTCTAATACTTGGCACTGTGCAGCCACTGAGCCACTGGGTCTGATCACTTCTGATACTCCATCTCGCTCCTCCACCTTCTCAATCCCTTCAAACAAACTTGTTTTAATGAAAATACATTCCTGAGTTTGGCTGATTTAGCAGGTTTTCCTCCCACCCTCATCTCTCTCTCCAGGATTGTGTGTGTGTTAGAGGGCTGTGTGCTGAATCTCCAGCTGTAACAGTGGTGGCAGGAGCCCTATTTAAGAAGTGCTGATGCCAGAGCACCGAGCATTTTTGTGTGCATTCAAGGAATGAGGGATGCATCTCCAATCAGCTTAGAGAAGGAGAAAGAAGGGTAGAGTGAGGAAGTGGAGAAGGGTTAGATGGGGGAAAGGAAAAAACTAGTATGAAGTAGATAGAGGGTGTAGAATGGAAATAAGTAACGAAAGACAAGTCATAAGAGCAAAATTGGGGTTGCACCTTCCTCATCAATGCAGTTTTTCTAAAGGATACTTTAGTGCAAGGACAGCAGACTAGTGAATCCTGTTTGTGGACACTAGGGGGGCGGCTGTGTGTGTGTGTGTGAGAGGGGGTCCAGTTGGCGGTTTGGTCCCAGCTCATCTGCATGTGGAGTGAAGTGTCCTCAGGCAAGATACTGAACACCGAATTGTTCCTCATCGAAGAAGTGCTGCCCGTAGATGCAGTGTATGAATGTGTGTGTGTGAATAGGTGAATGGCAATGAACTGAAATGTAAAGTGCTTTGAGTGCTCATCAAGACTAGAAAAATACCATGTAAATACAGACCATTCATAATTTACACTGGTGTTGAGCAGAGCATAAACCTGGTTTAGACGTGAGTGTGGCAGCTCACCTTTTTTCATCTTTGGCCAAGATTTGTTTTAGAATACAATGCAGAAAGAAACAGTTCAAGAAAACACACACCATATACAACACATCACAAACACTATTCAAAAGGGTATAACGGGTGACATGTGGTGACAAAATGGTGGGGGCCGGATCAACCCAGAGACATTCCCAGACCACAGTAATCCACAGCAGATGATGCCTGACACACACGTGTGTTCCATGAGGACAGTGGCTTTGATGGGAACCATCACAGCCTCACAGGCATGATCATTATTTCCTGCACACTGATTTACCCTACATGCATCTGTGATGTATTTGTAACTACTGATATCAAGTAGTGTGAATGAAGTCTTCCCAAATTTGCTTTAAAAGCATGTGAATGCAGCTAATAGGTATTTACAGTTGAACTCAGAAATATAAAATGTCACATCATCAACCAACTGGCAACAATGCTCCTTCTGGTAGGTTGATGTGAAGGGTGACAGCAGCTACGGAAACAGAAACATGCCGCGCCAAACAACAACTCTCTCCTTCGCCTTCCAAGCCCTGTCCCTCACCCTCTCCAAACTCCACAGCATCCACCCATCATAGATTCATCCATGCGTCTGGGCTTTCCAGTACTCAAGACCTCATTTGCAAGGACTGACATGTTGAAGTGTTGACCTCCTGTACAGCTGGGAGTGGCAGTGAAAACTCTTTCCAAGGATTGTTGGGCTAAGCCTGACAGACCTGAGGTTTGTTATCAACAGATGGTATGAGGATAAGAGTAAGGTGAAATTATCGCAACCAATGAACAAATGAAATTAAAACTTGAATGTGTACAGTATAACAATTGGATTGAACTTAAAAGAGGCACTTAAGAGTAGACACAGTGCAAAATAAACTTGCAATAAGTCCAATGGGGCTTAATGATTGAACAAATGGGGAAAGAGAGGTGTCTCACTGTTGACTTCGGTCCATCGTGTCTGCTCAAAGTGAAGAGTCCTCCACTTCTCCAGCTGTCCCTTGTCATCCTTCAGTGTCCTTAACTCTCCACTTCGGGCAACTCTTTGCCGAATTGGAGCCCTGGGCACTGCCAGCGGAGCCACCTTTGGGACAGCTTTTTCCCATGGCTGGTCATTGAAGCCTTGCTTTGTACCCTGGAACAGACAGGAAAAACATACCGCCCCTTAAGGTAAGCATGAGCGCATTTCATCATAGGGAGCACAGGTGACAACGTTGGTTGAAGACAGGTAGATTTATTCTATTATTCACAGCCCAGCAAGGGTGTCAGATCTCCCTGCTGATTGCTACAGAGGCCGGTGTCAGAGGTGACATCAAACAGACAAGAGCTCTGTGACAGCCGTCGACTACACCGCCGTCAAGGTAATTCCCAGGTGCCCTGGCAAGGGTCTCCACTCAGGAGGCACCAGTGGGATCAGGAAAGGTCACCTGGCAACACAGGTCAAGGCTTTGATGCAATCAGAGTAAAATCCAGCAGGGAAGGGGTTTTATGAGGGAGGGACAGAGGGAAATGCCCAGCTGTCAGTTTAGGTTTTAGAAGCAAAACATGGAGCCAAAGGGAAGCAGGCAGCAGCAGCAGCAGCAGCTCCATCATTTTTTAATACACAGCTCACTTTAGATGCTTCTAGATTGAAACAGAGGATGAAAACAAAAAAGGACCCATGATAACCAGTATTATTAAACTGCATATTTTATGAGGCCCCTCCCGATTAGAAAGTCAATTGCCGGTTATGTATTCATGCAGGCAGTGAAAAGGCACTGAGAGAGTGACCCTCAAGTTTGACCTTGCAGGCTTTGAACTTCTTCTCCTCGGCCCCCCTCCTGTCTCTCTCACTTTCTCTCTTTCTCCCTCTCTTTCTAGGTCCCTGGGAATGAATGCTTTGATTTGGGCCGTCCAGCTGCATAAGTAAACCACATTACATTTTAGGAATGTAAATAGCAGAAAGTGCTTTTGTGAAAAATTCATTGGATGCTCCCGGCTGGACCACATAATTATTTAGAGAGCATATGTAAATACCTCTTACGATTATGGAGGAATGTATGCAATTTCCTTTTCAATGTCCAAACCCGTCATTTGGTTGGGAGATAGGAGGTCATGGAGACAGAGTGGGAAACTAAACAAATGCTTTGCAGCATGGCAAGAAACTGCGGTGAGGGAGGTGATCCGTTCAAGAGCTCCAAGTGATCTTTGGACCCCAACCAAGAAACAGTGTCTATTACTGGAATATTGTATAGATCTGCAGAGAACCCGGCGGGTGCTCCAGGCTAAGAGCTGCAGATGCACTATGATATCATTTAACATCATTTGTCAGTGTTTTAAGAAATTATTTGTCAGGACTGTCAGCAGAATGCATCATCCTTCCCCTCACTGGCTACACAGACACATTAAATGGTAAATCATACATGGGTTTCTGCATGTCAGATACAATTCCTGACAAAATAACTGACACACACGATAAACTAAGCTGTGTATGTTTTTGCAAAGATTAAATGTATTACACTGCACCAAATCTGCCATATGTAAAAAATATGGTATGGCTGCGCTCAGACCGGCTGCCATCGCTCATCACTTTCTCCTCTCTGAGAACTCCACACACTGACAGGGATGACTTCCTGTCTGTCTGGAAGATTGCCTGTCTCTGGGGAAGGGGACATGTCTCTGCCATGACAGGGATTATCTCTCTCTCTCTCTCTGTGTTTTGCCAAACACAATCAGCCAAATCTCCGCTCATGCCCTTCTCATGTCCTCTACCATATATTCTTTTGTTATGGAGACTAACAAAGGTACTGACTCTGAATCCTCCCTCCCCATGATCAAATGCAACAACACTGACAACCAAACATTTCCTCCACCATCACACAACATCCCCAAAGGTAGGCTGATATGATATGGGTGAATATGTGGATAGTTGTGATCTCTTTCTCTGTCAAACATCAGTGTCTTCTCCAAAGACAAGAGATAGGTGACAAGACACAAAAACAAACACAAACAATAAATAGTGTTATGGGGGAGGGGGTGATTGAGGAATAATAATTAACGAAGAGCATGCAGCAGGACAGAGATGCTCTCTAAAGACTAGCCTGCTATCCCCCAAGGGAGAGAATGGGGCTTCAATTAACTGACAGGCAGATGTATTAGAATTTCTATCATGGGCCTTGGTGGGCAAGTGAGATGCAGAACTACGATGCTTTGAAAACCAGTGTGGTTTCCCCATCAAACACGTCCTCTAGGTCCTTTGATCTGCTGGGTGGTATGTGTCCTTGGAGATACATGTCTACTTCCTCAAAGCTCTTTGTTGCCAGCACCTCATTTTCTTGCTCTGCTCAGCTGTGTTCATTCTCAGACAACAGAAATACCATTTTTGCATCATGTGACACTAAGGACTTTAAACATTCAGATGTTAAGTACACCAGTGATGTGTGTGTGTGTGTGTACTCTGTAAGACCATGGAGCTCATGAATACAGGTAATTGGACCATCTCAGGATTGTATATTCATTTACTACTATGTATTTCCTGATATATACACAAATGCAGAATCTCATTTAATAAGCCACATTAAAGTGAAAATGGAGTGCGGCATATTTCCCTTTAGCTCTGTGAATATCATTAGCCTTATTCTGGACTGCTGAATCACATCTGAGGGTTTTAGGTCTTGTGTTGAACCCACATTTTAACCATGAGTCATGGCCATATAATTAACCAATCAAACCATGGTCTGTAGGATCAAGAATGGTGACTGTATCTTTGCTAACCTAGCTGCCAAACTACATTAACTATCAGAGCAGGTGGCATTGACATAGCTGTATATGTTTCTGTAGTTCTACTTACAAAAGGAAGGACTCTTAAAAGGTACCATGTAGAGAGTGATATTTCTGTGTAATTTTTATGATAGAGCAGGTGAAGGTGCCATATAAGTACTATGAAGAATGGGTCTATCTGGCAATGTACTTATCAGATGAATTTTACAGAATGTTATCAGAAGATGCTATATTTAGATGTTTCATTTTAAAAGCTCAGACACAGCTAACCAGCCTGTTGTAAGTTGTAGAACAGCTGACCTGTTTACTACTTACTCCAAAATTATTCTGGTGAATACTTTGGCCATAAATGTGTGTTTGTTGCGGCAGAATATATGGCCAGTCCTACACCAACCGACATACAGTTTGACAGTCAAAAGCAACTTCACATCTAGACATGCACAGAGAGAACACTCCTGGCTGTCAGCCAACAATGGAGGATAACAGCCGAAAACCAGCCCAGATATGGAACTAAAAGCCAAACTCTGGCCTGAAAGAAATGGGAAACGTCTAAAGACAGGGGCTGAGGGAACTGCATTCATTCATTCAAGTTTTACCCAGCTATAGTAGTATGCAGCAATCTCACCAGAGAGAACCACAAGAGTCAAACAAATTAACCCCCATCCCAAACAGGTGACACATAAATAAAGCACCACATTTAATACATCAAATTTAACAAAATGGCAATTCAATCTGTTTATCCGGCTACTATGAACCGCCTCCTTTCACACCAGCAGTTGTCTAATACAAGACAAGAGCAAGGCCATTTATTTACATTACAGGTAATATAGGATCTAGTGTTTCTCAATCTAGGAAGAGGAATGACTCAAACTCAGCATCTCAGCGTCTGTAGTTTCACTTTTGACCTTTCTTTTTACATTTTGTCTCTTTTGAATCCTCCAACTTTGAGTAGCCTATAATACTGTCACTCACTGCAATTCTATACCAGAGAATCTCTTCATAAAATATGCTGCTACCACCAACATAAATCAAACTGCATTCCTGCAGAGATGAGGTGAAAGTTATGATAGTGCCAATTTCTGTCAAGAGCCAAATGGATGTTATTTTTGTGCATCGTAGAATTTCCAGAGTTACTTAAAAGAACACTAGAAAGTTTTTATACCTTAAAATAGTGGCCTGCTTTATTGCATACGTCACAACAACCAGAACGGGAACATTTAGCAACAATTACCTCTCCTGTTTCAGTGAAGACATCATGGCAGAGCCACCAAAGAAACGGACATGAATGTTGATGGAGGAAATAAAGAGGAAAAGAGAAAGTGACCAAGTAAGAAATCAAATAGAGTAAATGTCCAAGCACACTCTTCATGGACGAAGCAGGACAGATGCTGACCTGTCATTGATATTTTTGTACAAGTAAGACATAGCTTTTGTTTTATGTTGCACCATGTATGTGAAGCTTTCTCGTTTATCCTTGGACACCAGTTAAAACCATTATGATAACTGCATTGGCTACTTGCCAGCTGTGTTAGCTTGAATGTCGCTGTTCTATTCTGAGTTGAGTGCAATGATTGTGCAAACGTTTACTTCCTGACTCTGACAACAGCTTGTATTTACAACAGTGAAAATGAAAGTGTTGCTTTAACCCTACTCTACTCCACTATAAATAAAAATAATTTTTAGCATGGCAAAAACATATGAAGATAACAGCTTACATCATTTATTTGAGATTGTTCACATTCCATCGTAAACCAAAGCATAGTTAACTGCTTTCTATTATTGACATGCTTTACTTGAGTTCTTCACTCCACTTTTCTAGCTTATGTTTCTGTTGTAAAACTATAAACTACTATAGATTATTATGATTGATAGCTCATGGGGCAAAATCCAAGCAGCCTGTTTGCCAGACATCCCCTCCACACATGACCACTGACGTCAGCAAGTGTTCTCACCAGCCGTGTCTCCCTTGAACTGCTGGGTGAGTTTCCTGTTAGGTCCTGACACAATATGCATGAATGCTCCATCTCACAGCACTGCCTCCCTGTGAAGTGGTGTTCAGGTTACATTCCTCCCAGCGAAAGCCCTCGGCCCTCCCTAGCCACAGCAGATCTGTAAACTGTTTACACTTCCCACACCTGGAAGAGGGCCAAGACAAACCTGGAACAAGGCCCACAAGAAGAAACCAACAGATAGGCCCTTAGATTTCAGCAGGAGAGGAGTGATTGTGTCTCAGGCTGGAGTGGAGTCTTGGCTCAACAACACCACTCCACTCTCTTTTTCTCTCTCCTAAAGGAAAGAAGTATGACCTGGAAGAAGATTCATGTGCTACAGAGGTCTGCTGATCCAAATAACTAAGACACAGTGTGCTCTCATCAC